ACAGGACTTTTCTTTTTCTGACTACAGGTTCGAGGCCCTCGAGTCGAGTCCGTTCGGGTGTCGAATAACCACGTGGTGCGTGGGTGGCGTCCCGGGGCGGTGGTGCATAGCGTTCACCACTGCCTGCAGCGCCGCCTGCTGTCGAAACGTAGACAACTGCGGGGAATAAACCCCGGGTTTGACCCCGAATGCACTCCCAGGATTGCCAAACGGCTGCGAATAGCCTGCTGAACTCGCATAGCTCGCCAAAGACGAGCAGGGACTCGTTTGCGTCTGCATTTGGGCATAGAATGCTGATGCGGCAGTGACCGGGGCTGAGGCGTAGGCTGAGGCCTGTTGCTGAGGTGCCTGCTGGAGTTGCTGCTGAGGTGGTGGGGGGTGGTTGGGCGGGGGTTGCTGAGAGTACACGAGGTGTTGGTGCTGGAACTGCTGCTGGTGGTGGTGCTGGTGCTGGTGCGTGAGGGAGGTGGAGCCCGTGGACCCGCCGCCAGAGTGCTGACTGGGTGTGTGGCTCCGCATGACCTGTGGGGGGAAAAAAAAGTTAGGTCATGGTATGGATATAGCAAAAATTTGCAACTGTCCATAGTACATTTCAGAAGTACATTTTCTGGAACCTGAAATATTCAGCTCATATGTTGATCATGGTTTTGAAAAATGCCTAGTTATTTGTTTCGTTTAATTTCAACTGTATTACAAAGCAGATAAATAAAAATTTTATTTTTCCTGTTTTATGGTCAAAGCAAAATTTGCTACCATACACAGCAGAGAAATCAAAAGTCCAATTTTACAAAGCGGAGTACAATCAAACTTGAAACTGCTCAAAATACCAGAGTAACTATCCCGTAAATCAAGCGTCAAGGTTGGGAACATTTTAAAAACAAATTTCTTCGAAAGAGTGGGCTCCTTATTTAAACCAATCTTACACGTTTACGTCTGGAAGTTCATTTCTTCGTCGCACTCCAGCAAAAATAATGAAATACCTCGATCTGCCGATGAATTAAAGAAAAAATGTATACATATGCAGGTCTTCATTTAATTTTTAAATTACAACACTAAGTTCATTGACGACCCTCTGCTCTTCATTTACTCTTTCTTATCTTTCTTATTCATGGAAACCTGGTCATCAAAAGTACGCACATCAAGGACAGAAATAGAATTCTCATCGGGTATAACTTCAAAAGCTGACAGGTTGAAACACAAAAAGTAATCCAGTTCTGCCATTCATTTATCAGCAGTATTTGGTAAAATAGCTCCCAACTATATCAATAATATGATCTTCAGAAATGAACTGCGTGCTGCTGTACGACGTCAGAATGGGAATTGCCTAATATTGCCAAAAATAGCCATCGTTCCCCACCGACTGGATTCCTTCGATGCTGCATTCAGTTTAATAAGCGAAAAGATGAGGCAGACAATTTTGAAATACCCGCGGTTTAATTCAATTTCCCAACAAAGAATGACGTTTTTCGAAGAGTAAAAGCGTAGAAACCTACACAGATCACCAAAACCTGAGCAAAAAAAAGATGCCTGAAAATGCAGAAATATGCGAATTATATTGAAAGTGACCTACGCAAGAAACGGCGGCATGACTACGATATAATTCAATTATAAGAATTGAATCCATGTGTTTTTATTCTCTTAAAACATGGAATATTTTTATGGCTTTTGAATTATACAAGCTTTTCCCAGCAGCATAGATTAATTCCTTGGAAAATAACGCATCTCCAGAATATAAGCGAAAAAAACAAATAAGCGAATTCAAATACAGTATAATACTTTTCCAAAAGCCTTCGATGCTCGAGGAATTGCTCGGGACACCATCATGCAGAAATTTTAAAGATGGAACTATCAGTCCGGAAAAAAGTAAGTTTTTATAAGCATACCCTATTTTTTCCAACTGCACACAAAGAAAAATTAAATAAAACAAAAACGGGGATATATATCATTACGTGGACGGATTCATTACCTGGGCAGCATTAACAGGCAATTGAAAAGATACTTCTATTATACAGCCCACAACAGGATGAATACCGAAATTTCCCTCTATTTTTGCATCTTCCCGAGCAGCTAAAAATTGGCCAGAAAATGTTCGATAATTTCATCTCATCAGCATGAAAGCGGGGAAATGGGACTCTATTTTTTATTTTTGGAAATTTCTAGCGTTCAGTATGTTACAAAAAAAAAACAGCGAAAAAGACATATGCTGCACAAGATCCCCGAACATTTCTCTGTGAAATATGGCTTGAAAGAAATAATAATCCCATCGTATATGTTTAAGCCCGAGCTTCCAAATATTAATTCATTCATATATTTTTGTTCATAGGATTAAATATGAAGAATTCAATTGAAAGAGTTTAAGTAGCAGATGCTCTCGAGCTGAAAACTGAGTCAAACTTCGGGTGCGATTATTCTGATAAATATTTTTCATCCATCACAACAAGCTGTTTCTTCATCAAAATCATTTCAAGAATCATTACTCCGAAGATTTAATTAAACTAATATCGCGGTGTGGAAAATATCAACTGTCAAAAAATATATAAATAACCATGAATGAATTATTGAATAAACACAATTGTATACCTGCAATCCATATGACCAGATTTCCCAAGCAACCACTCCGTAGCTCCAAATGTCGCTTTCCGTCGTGAACTTTCCGTACATAATTGCTTCCGGGGGCATCCATCTCACGGGCAGAAGAGACTCTGTTTCCACACGATAATAGTCAGACGAATAAACGTCCCTGGAAAGACCGAAGTCACCGATTTTGATAGTCAGATTTTCTCCAACCAAGCAATTCCTCGAAGCCAAGTCCCGGTGTACGTAATGACAACTTGCGAGGTACTCCATTCCAGCAGCAACCTATTTTTTTTATAATAAATAGAATAATGCATTACATGCATGGTTTTCTGTCGCATTTTTAATGAAAAGTCCCGCAATAGCATATCTTCATAATTCCAAACCTAAAGAAAAGCCCGAAATTTAACCTCTGACCGAACAACGAAAATGAAACGGGAATTATTCTGTATATAGTGTAGTGCATTGATAATATTCATAGGATATTTTTTTGGAAATGAAACTTAACAAATATATTTGAGTGATTATTTTCGATTACGACTGCTAGGATTGAAATATGGAAACTTTTTTCTGACCGTTAATACTTTTCAACAACTAAAGACAGGACAAGATTTTAGTGGCATGGTATTTATAATGGAGACCATAGAAGAATTTGAATTATAAGTTTATGGATTCCGGACTTCCGAATCTATATTTCTGAAGATCTGCATAACCCGATCTGCTGTACCTGATTTTGTATTCTGATGAACTAAAACTGATTGAGTTTCTCTGAATTCTTCAACGGAATTCAGCATGTCGACAGGTATAAACTGGAACTTGCAAGCAGAAATTTTTAAAGGACGCAGCAGTTTATTATCTTAACAGTTAGGAAATACAGTATTAGACTAGCATATAATGGCTGCTAATGACGTTTTTGCGTCAGTTATCGATTAAATTGGCATTGAATAAAGATTCTGCCCCTTGAACTCCGACTGATGATGACAGTCATACTTTAATTGAAAAGGCGCTGCATATGCAAATACTGTAATGAAAGCAATCTCGAATTATCCAGCGGAATTTATAGCTTTTCGGAGCCTTAGTTCCTCTTTTTCAATCTCCAAGCCCCCTCAAGAGCCGTGAATGCGCACATTTCTTCGATTACCAGCAGTAAATCATTATTTCCGGTGTTCGCATATATTTTAGCAAAAGCGATTGAAAGCAAACAATCCTCACCTGTGTTGCAATGTGAATTAAATCCGGAGGTTCCAAATGCCCACCATTTCCGGCAACGCCGCCGCGGATGGAATGCGTGATGAGAAACTGGTGCAGGTCACCTTGGGTCATGTGCTCGAACAGCATCGCAGCCAGCTGAGAAGAGCCCGGTGACTTTGGAGCGACACCTACGAGACAAACTATGTTCGGGTGTCGCAGAGCCACCATCAAGTCCGCTTCTCGTCGGAAATCCGCCGCCACTTTCGGCGTCGCGTCGGCCTTGAGTGTTTTCACCGCGACTGGAGTCACGGTCTTGCCGTCCACGCCTTGGATTTCGCCTTTGAATACTTTTCCTGTAAAGAGTATAAAAATATTAAACAATTATCAAAATGATGCACGAAAAAGGATAACAGCTAAATAAATTCATATTGCGTTTTGTTTTTTTGCAGTAAGGAGCTCTGGGCAGCACCTTTTGACGCAAAATTTCTCAACCTCTCACATCAAAAAGTGCTGCCAATTCCGAAATAAATTTCTCTGGCAGAGTCAATCTAGTGCAAACTTGTTCCTGTATTGAGTGACTGACATTTCCACGTCCTTCTCCAAATTTTCTGGACACACATTTTAAAGCCTAACAAAATCTTCTTTGTAATGTTTGAGTCAATATAAAATTGTCAGCTTCATATGAGACCAATGACTCAGTGAGAAATCCATGCCATCTCAAAATTTTAAAGAGGAAAATTAACAAAAATGCAGTATAAATGCTCATCCTGGATGTAAACTTAAGCGTCAAGTAACCGAACAATTTACCGAATCTAACAAAAAACCTAATCATACAGGACATAAGCTTCAAAACTGCCGAAAGCGAGTAAAGCGACATCTATAGCTGGAGAAAAACGGCAATACTTCATTCTTCAGCCCACAGATGTCACATACAGGCCAGGGTCTTGTAAAGAATATCAGCGATCATGATTGAATTAATTTTTTATTTCATTTTTCAAGTTTTCCTTCAAATTTAATTTTCATGGGGTGAATGAAGCAATTTCGTACCTTTTTTTTTACACAAGCTATACGCCATAATTCAGCATTTTTATGTACAGAAAATGTTGAAGAGTACTGCTTTAGTATATTCCGCATCATCACAGAAAATGGACTTGATTCAATTATCTGAAGAGTGAAATCCTTTCAGGTCAAATATCGAAACTAGTTACTATGATCGTTGCCTAAATCAATAGACATTATTGAATTGAGAACGATGAAAGCCGTGGAGTTGTACGGGCTCCGAACTATACGTTGAAGAAAATACGTCTCTCCCATGCAGCTGAAAATCGAATGAAACCAAATTTCGAGAAGTTTTCCATTACACTTCATTACTCGATGTAGTTGCAGGTATGGCGATTAAATTTTTAGCGAGCTTTTGCGTCATAATCGCGGCGGCGCAGATTTGCACATGTCTGCCAGCTGGCGGCGTGGAGACACGGTCGGATATTTCTAATAATCGCTGGATTTCGCAACTTCAGACCTGTTAAAAAAATGTTTTTTTTCTATATTTGCGCGTGATATTTCAGTGAGGCTGCTGAAGATCGCAAACTTCTTGAACTCGATGCATCCGCAAAGGCCTTCAACACCGGGAAAGCTTTACCACCCAATGCCGACCACGTGGAAGATCACGAATTTTTGACACCGAAGGAAATTTCATTAATTTCGGAGATCATTGAAAGGATCACGAAAAATGTCCTAGGTAGATTTTCCGTGATCAAATGGAAGGAACGCAAATTTAACTTGGAAACAGAACTCGAAGACGCCATTCCGAAGGTGTTGAACACATTCTGGGACAGTTTTTGTAAAATTTCCAACTACTGTATATCATAGTAATCTCTTGTTCTTGTGATTGAAGATGACTGAAGACATGATGGCAATTCCGTCTGCTCAACCTCATGACGAATTTTTAGATCCTGATTCAATTTACGACCCGGACTTTGCATTGGACGATAAAATCGATGAACACGTCAGGAGGAAGCGAAATGCTGACGCAGGCATGAAAATTTCAAATTTCCTTATCAAATTCCGAAGTAATAATTCGAAAAAATGTACAGATTGCACCCTTCTGATTAAATGAATTTACGCTATCCTAAGGTATCTGCTTTCTTTCACACAATTCTTCGAAAATTGGATGATAACGTTATTGGACATTCAGTTTCTAAACCTCGGGTCTTGCGGCATTAATGTAATAATAATCTTCGCCGAAGATTTTTTCCTTACTATTCTGAAGATTAAATACGAGATTCTTGATTTTTCCGGATTTTAGAAAATGACCTCGAAGTGCATTTCCCGGATGCGTCCCCGGGTACGAAACCAAAAGCCATCAAACTGCCCTCAGGGGTTAGTGTAGCAATCGAACCCGGCCAAACATTGACACTCGGCGCCAACGGTGAGGTCATCACAGCTGCTTCAGGTACAACCGGTACAATCAAGGGTCATCCCGCCTTTTCGGCTAACTCTGACAATGCAACCCCGGACAAGAAGACTTTGCCCAGTGCAGCCCGACCCGGGTTTTTCAAGAACCCGAATATCCCGGTTAACCCCAAGGTTTCTGGACTGGTCGCGCTTCTGCAGAAAACTGTAGCTGACGGACATTTTCGGCGACCAATGGACAAGGATTTGCCGATTCAGCAGATTCAAGTTAAATTGAGGAATGGGACGAGATATTTCTATGAGATGAAAAACGATGTTTCCGGGGTTGATCACACCCTTGTTGGTGAGAAAACAAATGTTAACTGCAATTTTTCAATAAATTTTCAGATCCTTGAATTGAGTTTTTCAGAGAGCCCACGTTGTTGCATCGGAATTCCGTGTTCGCCTTGATAAAGATTTTCTTCTACTTCAACCTCGACTCAATAAATCTGTAATGCATAGATTCACCTTCGATTTTAGATGGATGACATTGTTCGGAATAATTTCAGATTTATTTGTGGCACTTGCAGCACTAATATAACTGAAATTGTTCAGTGATGACGTCAACTTTCGATGCTTATCATTAACCCTGGTGAACGTGGCCTGCAGAAAATCAGTGTTTAAATTGTTTTGACTTTCGAATTGCGCTTCTCTCGATCGGAACAACAAAGGAATGTCTAACTTGCAATTACAAAACAGAACGTTTTTTAAATCAGCGCTTCGTAAACCTATTTTATGTGCTGCCTGAAATCACAGTCCACCAGATTTGAAAACCTAATTAAAAAAAACTGGTTAAATAAGGTGGAAGTTTATCACGAATTGTTTCTTTCATAATAGGCGACTGTGATCCAGAGAGTGACCCATCATGCGTAAGTTCCCAAGTCAATGGCAGAGACTCTGGAAGCATTCACGTGCACTTGTCAAATGGAACAACGGTTAATTACAATTTCAAGAAGTCCAATCAATTGGATCCAGTTTCCATCGATGCGAAAGAACGAGCTCTCAAAATCAAGTTGTACGTCACCGCAGCAACAGCTCTCGACGATATTCTGTTCCGAAAAGTCGGTTCGGATGAAATCATGAAAGACAAGGTTCGATTTGAAGAGGTTTTCCTCGAGGAATTGGGGAAGAAACTCAGGGATGAATCCTTGCTCATTCCAACCAATGACGGAAGGTCTAATCCATCTGGTAAGTCTTCGTTTTTGTTCAAGATAAAATGTAGAAAGAAGATTGAACTCGAAAGGTTCTAAAAGATTGACTCGATTCTGCCATGATGAGTGCGATATGTTCTGGCTTCTTGTGGTAAAAAAAAAAATCATTGTTGTTTTAATTTTCCAGTATCCCTTAAGCATATGATTTTTTGGCTAATAAAAAAACTTTTGGCATTTCAATAAAAAGTTTATTAAATTCTCAAGAGTGTAGTAAGTGAGCTAATTACTACAGAGTAAATATGCTGGTTACTGCTTCACCAGAACACCTTATTTTCGTATGCCCAGCATTCCAAAGCAGCAGAATTGAATTTTCAAGATTCCCAAAACTTGATAAAAAAAAATTCCTTTTCAAAATCTTAGAGGACCGAAACAAAAAATTTTCCGGAAACATTTCCTGAACCTAGAGAATCCTGACAAGCGGCAAATAAAGCTTGCATATCAATCAATCAATAGGAGATAAAAAGTACTGTACTTTAAAATTTGTTTTGGATAATTTACTCTTAATTATCCTTTCCAGGCATTCTGGGAAATGAGAACTCCATCCCAAATTCCCCCACAATGGAAAAGGGCACTGGTGAATCACTCAGCACCGCAGTGGATCATTACATGGGACTCTTGAGCTCTGAGCAGAATAGGAACCATGGACCAATTGGTACTCCCATGCCCTTGTCTGACAGGATGGATGTTGGGGCAGTTGGCGGATACTTGGTTGGAGGAACTGCTGGAGCAGTTGTTTTTCTAGCCATCATGTTTGTCAGCGCTCATTGGCTCGAGGCCTGTGAACAGGACGCAGGCAGACTGCCAACCTGCTAGTTATTCACATTTTGATGATCATTTTGTCGGTTATCTTCCATGTTAAAGGTATTCCCAAAATTTTTTTCTTCTGGAAATGAATCAAATGATATCAATAGATACGGTCCAGATCATTCGTTTCACACTAGCTGTGTAAAAATACAATAAGAAGAACCCTGGAAACGCAATATATCCTCGAATTCTAGGTCGAATAATTCAATCATTCAGAAGATTTCGCAAATTGCATGCTTTTTCAAAAGCATTTCCTGCAATTATTAAAACTCAACCTTGATATCTTTCGAACAACTGTATACACAATTATTTCTTTGAAATCCCCGTCTAAATTTCCTCAAAATGGTTTTTCCTAAGTAAGAGCCAACTTGAAGGCTTTCTCCCTCAAACCTCCACAATTCGAATCGCCTATTCACAGTAAAAAGAAATAAAAATTTAACTTGATTTTTTTTTAAAGGAAGGGAAAGACATGAGGCTTCCCTTGCATAAACCCTTGCATTCAACTTCAGCATCCTGTCAACTCATCGAAGCATTTTCAGGCCCAGAATATCGCCAATTACAATTTCCTATTTTTCTCCTCTTTTCTGAAACAACAAAAAAGCTCGTTTTCCTAACTCCCTGGAACTTAAGGGGCCAGTTTTTGCTGGTCCCTTGAAGTTCGATTTAAAAAGGTTCGACTGTAAAAATAATAAGATCAGTAGATAATTCACGTTAATACATTAAAAATAAATACGTAGGAGGATTATTGTCTGAGTAGACAAGAGGGAATTCCTGTTTCTATTGCTGAGGCAAATTAACCTCACATGTTCTTCGAAAAATTTCAAACTTTTCGATTGGTTACATTTTATCTACTGTATGTCTAAAAGCTGCAATATGTCTTTTGTTAGAATTTTAAAAAGAATTTCGGAAAACCTTTCGCGGTTTTTCAAGGATTTATGCAAAATCCGTTATAACCCATCAAGGCATTAAGGATACGGAATCCTGGCACAGTAAATCACAGTACAGTATATTTAATCAGCAGCCCGGGTTAGTTAGGTTTATATGGGGTAATTCCAGCCTGCTTGCGTCAAGATTTTATTTGAGATGCCTTTATC